TTAGAACTTTATGACATATAGAGAAAATGATAAAAAAAATATAGTAGTCCAAAATATAATATGGAATATGTTCAGTTAGGCTACTATAATGATACATCAAGACAATTAAGGGGCATAATGTTTTCGCCGGAAAATTTATGAATACTGAAAACCTGAAACAAATTGTTCCTTAACTTGTCTGGAAATGTAATTAAAAAAACCTGCCGTTAACTTTTTTTAACGGCAAAACTATTTTAAAAGTTTACGTAAACATTTTTTACAGGGATTGTAAAGATTTTTTCTTAAGTGTTGCTAATCGCAAAATACGCTTAAAGGCCCTTTGCGAATAGTGACGTCATCAAACACTTAGTGGAATCGCAAGAATCAAAGACTGATTGAAAATTGGAATGGTGCAAAGTGATGCTATCTTTCTATCAGTGTCCCCTATACAAACAAAAAAAGAAAACCTCTTTATCATCCCTGATAAGTTCGTTATTCTTTTTGGAATGTAGGCAAATGAACGCCTATATATGAACGAAGGCATATAATATGTACGTCTTCTACTTGTCTAAAACTAGTTTTAGCTTCAAGTAGATACATAAATGTAAAAATCATATTAAAGAAATATTTTCAATAATAATTTACGACGTTTTCGAAAATGAAATTTTGCATACTGCCCCTTTAAAGTACTTTTGGTAGATCCAATTTGCATATTATGTATAGGGAAGTTCATTTTAACCGTTATTACAAATTTTTGCTTTCAAAAAATAGTAGGTATTAATCCAAATGGTTGGATGGATATATCTTTTTAAGGCCTACTTTTGAAAAGGACCTTAAAAGGTCAATGAAAGAGTCACAATAGCGTCATATTAGAATGAAATTAAATATTTTTTAACGATCAGATGGTAAATGATATCTTTTTTAATTTTCAAAACATGACAGTTTGGTGAAAACGATATTTGTTTAAGATCAGTATATCTTTAGAGAATTCATTATCAAATGTCGAAAATAGATACTCTGAATTCGAGGTGTAACTCCATATACCCAATTGAGATCACGTGGCTTTTTAAATGTGTTTCAACCCACATGAACACAGATATTATGATGGTACCTTAAAAAGTTGGAATTTCATTCTAGAATATTTAATCTGGGTTCTGTCAGCTTTTTAAAGGTCATGGTTCACCATGTTTTAGTGACTATCGTGCTTTAAAGTGACTTCATGATCTTAAGTGATTATCATGATTTAATGTGACTATCATGATTTAGAGTTATTATCATGATTTAATGTGATTCTCATGTTTTAATGTGGTTATTATGATTTAATGTGGTTATTATGATTTAATGTGACTATCATGATTTAATATAACTACCATGCCGTAATATGAATATCATGCCATTAATTGACTATCATGCCGTAAAGTGACTATCATGCCGTAAAGTGAGTATCATGCCATTAAGTGACTATAATCATCCGTAAAATGAATATCATGCCGTAAAGTAACTACCATGCCGATAAGTGACTATCATGCCATTAAGTGACTATCATGCCGTAAAATGAATATCATGCCGTAAAGTAACTACCATGCCGATAAGTGACTATCATGCCATTAAGTCACTATCATGCCGTAAAATGAATATCATGCCGTAAAGTAACTACCATGCCGATAAGTGACTATCATGCCATTAAGTCACTATCATGCCGTAAAATGAATATCATGCCGTAAAGTAACTACCCTGCCGATAAGTGACTATCATGCCGTAAAGTGACTATCATGCTTTAAAGTGACTAACATTATTTAAAGTGCTTTAAAGTGACTATCATGCTTTAAAGTTGATCTCAATAGTTGAATAGCTGATTGTCTTTCATATTTTATGATCGTTTATTTTTGAGAATTTCGCTGCAAAAACTAGCGATCAAAATTTCTAGGATATTGTTTTCATGTGTAATATAGTCTGGCGTATTACTAGGTATGAAACGGCGACCCAAGAGACCCTGGGTCTAGTCAGAAACCACGAGAGGAGTATCAAGATCATTCACCATATGAAAACAAATTAGAACCAGGCTGGTCTATTAATCGGCGTTTGATGGCGGCTCTCGAAGGAATGGTGCTTAACGTGGTGTTCTTATTGTCTCAGCGTGGGGTGGGCAATGTTTCTGTTGCACTATGCTACAGGATACAAGTTTTCAATCCTATCAAGCAATATAGCATTCTACCACAGAAAACTACCATTTCTCCAGAACAGAACATTGCCTTTTTTGCATTTTTTTTAGGCGAGGCTTAGATCTTTGTACAGACTACAGCACAATGAAGTGAAAAGAGGCAAGCATCACAATTTCGTTTCTTTTTTTCTGATTATTTCGTCTCCATTGTAATCAACTAGAGTTCTCCCAGAGTTCGTTTTAACTCGTTGAACACAATAGGCTTATATGCATTTGAAATCAATGGCGGTTCAATACTGCCATTTCACAATCTACTTGCCAGTTGAACTATCTAGTCATAATCAGGTTGGAAACGATATTTTTACTCGCGATTCATCAAATGGTGACTCACTGTTATCGCATCACAATCTACTTAATATGCAATATGCAATTGACATCAATGGCGGTTCATTGCTTTCGTATCACGATCGGTTTGCTAACCTTATTTGTTGTAATATGCAATTGAGATCAATGGCGGTTCATTGCTTTCGTATCACGATCGGTTTGCTAGCCTTATTTGTTGTTACAGCTCCTGATTGGATAGCGACGTTTAACTTATGTCAACAAGTCGATACGTTGAAATTTCCTGCCATTGATTTGAACAAATACAGAAGGACACGATTCTCTTGGAAATCACGGGACCGGGATACGTGGACGATTTTAAAAGAAATACAAGGGCGGTTCAAAAATGGTTCAAAGACAGTTATATTCCGGTTATCCTGTCGAAATTACCTTCGTTGCATATTGCATGTCGATATCCGTATATATATATAAATCGTATTGTGCCATTCCGATTTTTTTTTCTTTTATCGAAAATGTGTCACATGCAGGTGCCACTCTATAATTGTGCTCCTGTTCATTTTTCAATGTCTCGGCCTCTGGGAATGAGATATGAAAAAAGAAAAGTTCCGTTCTTTGTTCCTTCGGACTGTCTTTTGTCCTTCGCAAACCCGTGCACTATAAGAAGACGACAATCTCAATACCACGCAAGTCTCTGAATAGACCGTTCCTGACAATGCGTATATTGTCGTTTCTACTAGGGGGGTCTTGATCAGTCGGTCTTTTTATTTTTGTGAAATATGTATGTATAGTATTGCTTTAAGCCAATCCAGACTTGGTTAATGAATGGGTGTATTTCGGTCAGAATGTCGAAGGCAGTAATCTACTTCTATAAATCCAAGACTAAGTCTTTGTTGTTCCCATCAGAGAATTGAGAACAGAGAACAACATTTGACAATCCTCGGCAGTTACCGTATAGCTGAATCTGGTTTGGTAATGAATGGTAGATTTCGTTGTGTCTTCAAGGGCGATGATTTGTCACATTACAGTAATATCGCGATCTAAATATAATTGAAGGTCAACAGAAACTTACACATACAGGTAAAGTTATCAAGTAGTTATCAGTTTTACTTGATAACGTTACCTGTACGTGTTTTGAAACGTAGTACGTAATAAAACTATAAGTAGTATATCCATATAACTTGTGTTCGTAATGTTTAGCTTCCTGCTTCTATATGTCTTACAAAGATTACATTTATATTGTGTTGTTTTTTATTCAGGGTATTTTCAAACCGTGATAAACTTTCTTTTGGCCTTCAGTTTAGTCCATAGCTTAAGAGTAAAGGTGTTACTTTTACTATTATCTTATTCTTACTTTTTACTTGCGATCCAGGGTCTGGTGTTTGAATCCCATGATCACGTGATAATCTGGGCATATAGTTGCGATAAATAATTGTTGACATGGTATGTTGCAAAGCGCTAGCAGAACTTTCATGGTAGACCGTTTGATATTTTGATTCAAAGAAAGTTTTAGCTGTTCCCCACTGGGGGTCAAGAGAGAATATGAGCGTAGAAATTTCTTCGAAATTTTGTTACTTAAGGCGGCAGTCTGATTTTTAAAGTTTGTTGGTAAATTAAGGTGCAACCGAAATCTAGAAAAATGGGTCCCTTAACTTATCGGAAAGGTTCAGTTATTACTTGTAAAGGTATCGTCCGAATATTTATTATTGATAGCTAACATTCAGCTATCTGTATCGTTTATCAAAAATGAATTTCGGCGTTTGGTTCGTTTACAAAAAATGCAACGCATAGTGATGGAAACAAGCTTACGTTTTCTGATCGTTATCATCATTAATAAGAAAGGACTAGCATTCTGAATAGAGATACGGATAGTTAAAATTGAGCTCTATCAACCAGTAAAGTAATTAAGACTATATCCTTTAATGAACTAAAATTTCTACAAACTAAAACGGTTTGAGGCCATGAAACTCTCTGCACATAAATAAATGAAATAAATCTGACCTCGGGATTGAAACATTTTATCAATATTACGCAATATTTAGCTCTCGAACAAACTTTCTTGTCCTCATCACGTTCTTTTCATCAATTTGTCTGGTGTTTTATTGAATTTACTAGAAATTCCACGACGGAAGCCGTTTCTCCAATTTAAATACACCATTTCCAAATTCATAACAGACGACTCTTACACACTTTTATTGAACTGTTGTCCATTGTTAGATCTTGCATTAGTCTAGTATTTGTTGCCTCTGACCTAACATCTAATAGCTATTGATGACAAAAGTCGACCAGCTACAATAGTTCGACAGTTTCTGGTGCCAATTTCATAGAAACATCGAATATCATGTGACGTTTTTTTCGGTTTCCTATGAATGTCAGGCAATTTGGCCTGTTTATTCTTGGGGAAGGGGAGAGGGGAATTTGTTGCCATTGAGTTGTGAATTTGAGTGATAGGTCGGTTAGGTATGAATACATGTATTTATGACGACTAAAAAACAGTACCCATCGAATTAGTTTACAGAAGCTACATCATGCTATTTCCCTGAAATTTGTTACATCTGGTTGATTTTAGGTACGTTGCGATATTTGGTCGCACCTCAATTCTGTTTTTGAAGGCTTTGAGGTGTGGTATCGTTGACAAATCTCTCCAAGCTTCTGGGAACTGATTTTCGGTGGCTCTTAGTATGTGATAGACCTCTAGATCTATGTACGTTAGCTTGTTGCCGACCATAAAACTGAAATAGAAAAAAATGTATCTACCTTGACAAATATGTTTGCTTCACATATAGCTATATGCTTACAATCTGTCGTCTTGATTTTTGAGTGTGGACGAGTTGGTTCAATGAATATTACATCTGATACAGAAGTAAGACATCTCGTCCTTTATTTTAGTTTGATGAGAACATCTTACCTTTTTTTGGCTTTTTTTGGTCGATGATCAAATACTCGACCAATAACATCCATTGAAACAGATTCTTACCAAGGACGACAGACTACTACTCTTGTGCCTAATTTTTGATTGGTCGGAGACCAAGACTCGACCAATTAGATTCACTGAAATATGTATCTTACCCTTGAGAGAGTATGCGGCTATTATTGTTGTGGCTATAGATGACAATTTCATTGGTCAAAGATTTTGTTTTCGGTCAATTCGATTCACGTGAGTGTGTAGCCTTGTTGGCCATTAGTGCTGTAATAAGAATCTGATTGGTCGAAGATGCAGTTCTTGACCACTAAGATTCACTTCAGAGTGTAGCCTAGGAGGCTATTATCGCTGTAGTTAGAAATTGATTGGTTGGGGATTAATTGAAACGCGTATCTTACCCTCTATTGTTGTAAGTTAAGGCTTTCTCAAAATGTTTTAGGAATTGATGGAATCTTTTCTCTACGAATCTATTGATGTAGGGTTGGGTTCCTTCTTGCTGAGAGAAATACGAATCTGTAGGATATACACCATGAAACGCCAATCTACCTGTAAAAAAATTAATAGAATCAGGGTTATAAGCTGAAGTGTGTGTATTGGAGAGGTGTAACTTTATGAGGGTTCCAGTGGCGTTTCAAGGAAAGATTAGTTGAGGGGTGCGAGCAGAGGCCACAAATTTTTCCAGGGGGGCCACAGGCCATTCTTTCACTATGCAAAATGATAAAACATTTTAAATTGGGGTGACCAAAGCCTGGCCAGCCACTTTTATTTTGGGGGTCATGACATAGAGGTACATTTATTCATTCGTTTGTGGTCTATCGACAGTTTGAAATCGAAGAAAAGTACGCCCGACAAAATTCCCTTCAACCTATAGTACAGGAAAGTAGGACGAAATACTTCATTTTATTGTTTTTCGTGTTTTCATGTTCGACATCATAAATCGCCTCTTCACAGGCATAGATGGAAATGATACCTTTTTATTTTTCAACCCAATCTAGCCCAGTCAGTAATGCAGGTCGGAAGAGCTGACATGGAAAACGTATCTGGTTGTTCGGGTGGGACAAATTACTTAAGACTCTATGTGCTACACTCTAAGCAGGTTAAAGATTCCATGACAGTCCATTCAGGACGTTAAATTCCATTTATTTCATTAATTTTTCTAAAAATGACTCCTTTCCCTAATACGAAGAAGGGCATACACGCGTTTTAAGGTGAACGGATCAAGACGTCTTACCTTCAGCTAAGTAATCGTGGACAGTAGCACTGAGTTGTTCAGCATGCCATTGATCCACCTCGTTATCCGGATACAATCCGAACTGTTTCCCCAAATATCTACTGATCACACCCGCTTGGGACAGACTGAAATCACCTGGATTAGAAAGCAAGAACAGATAACTCTAGTCCTCAGACAACAAGAACAATAATAATGATAAAAATATTAGACTCTTTATTCTACGTACCTTTTTTAATCATAGGAGGGGCAAACGTGGGATAGCCAGTCCATTTGTCACCTCTGAAAAGTTCATACATGTTATCGTTCACTTCTTTGTATTTCACACCCACTTCCTCAAAAATCAGCTTAGCAAATTCATTTCGTCCTACACCAGCTAGTTTGGTATCATGATAGTACAGTTCCCACTCCGCTTCATCACTCATTGTAACACTAGAATCAAAACTATTAAGTGCATCTTCACAACGTCAAGCTATTGCAAACTATGTCTAATACCTTGACTTCATTGGGATCTGTTCTGGTGTCACAGAAAGCAACAATTTGAGTTGATTGTATACAAGCGAATACAGCCACTTAGACTGAAACATTGGATCTTGTAATGTACTATGGGAGACTACTCTTTTAATAATCATAATGCACATGAAAAACTACTTCTGGTACTATTGCACCAATGAAAATGAAGTATTACTTTTTATACTTTTCTGTTCTGGATTAAGCTAATGAAGATGGGCCAACCCATACATTGTGTAGTGAGGACACCTTGACGTACAGTGACACTAGCCTACTGAAACCTGGAAGTCGGATTTTCAATCGAGTTCTTGGGGTACCCCTAAATGCGGTCTGTCAATAATTGTTACCGAATTAAGAATTAAGGTAGAATTAAAAGGACTACAAAGTGGCGATGCGGGGTGGAGGGTGGACGTAAACCCCTAGTATTTCGAGATACGGGCAGGTATAGAGATACGTCTAATTTGACCGATCGTACCTAAGTCTCAAAAGCTGGAATCTTTCTAGCCAAGCCAATCAGCTCACTGTCGAAATTTGACTCTTCAAATTCATTTTGTGTACAGACGTTTGAAAGTTATAATGACGAAATGTCTGTTCTTGAGATTCTGTCATATATATTGAAAAGACATAAAATAGAAATAGAAAGTTAAATTCCTAGTTTGAAGTACTTTATCTTTGTGCAGTTCTAATACTTCTTATTTTACATATTTATGACCCGAATCAAATGGCGAAACCTGGTCTTAAAGGAAACGTGCGAACAGATATGCTTTGCCCTTTCTAAAACATAATATATTATATTAATATATTTATTCATTTGTGTCCCTTTAAGGATAAAGTAAACTTGGACAAGATAACTTTTATCTATTACCCTATTTGATCTTTTATCTTAAAATATAGGCTACATTTTCATGAAACATATACCGAAGAAGCAATATTAGCAATGTTGACTCTCCGAAAGGGGAACTCGGCCAAAGAATGACATTGGGTGTTCAATAAACGGGACCGTCCAAGTATTCTTTAGGCTGTGCACGTATAGAATCTATCGACAGTTACAAATCGAATAAAAACTATGCTACATATCCTCATTTCACATTGCATTGCGTTGCCCAACTTGATTAGCTCAACAATTAGTACGTAAAACTCTATAAGCTTTCATTTGAATCACTGTGGCGTTTCATGCCCCACCCCCCTTACACCTCAAATGTCACTTGAAAGAATAAGGCTACGTGAGAATCCCTTGCCATTTCTGTGTTCCTTTTTGGCCATACCCATTCGACCCCCTCCCGATTCACCTTATGGTTCTTTGTGACGCCGATGTATTCTCTGTAAGCGGTTGATTCCATGGAAAGTAACGCTTCACTTCACTTACCTTTGCTCCAGGGTTTGTGTGGTAAATAGGACCTACGCCAGGCAATTATCAGCGTTTCACGACAAAATGTAGGTCTCGTACTACTTTAATACCTCAATAAAAACTTTTTGATGAAATGGTTGTGATATAACCAAAATATACTAGTTGTGATAGCAATGTTTGTATAAAATTTGTTGAGTCATCGTATATCAATATGTATGGTGGCCCAATGAGGAAATAATGCAAGTTTATTTGAAGCTGTCGATGGCTAACTCGGATAATTTGATACAGAAAGGGAATACAAAGCCAAATGTTCTTGAAAAAAGAAAGCTCTTTCTGTCCAATGTACTTCAGTTCGAAAGGCCTGACATGGAAAAGGTTTAGATTGGAAAATAAGATAAGAGTGGAAGTCTGGAAGTTTAAACTAAGGCATTTTCGTGTGTAATTTTTATTGTAGACCGAAAAGTATGCTTAAGCTGCATTCAATGCAAATTTTTTCTTGTAAGGTATTTTATTTCAATGGGTTATTTGTGATTATTCCCTATTTTTATAGAAAAACGTAAAGCTTCAGACCGCATTTATTATTGTATTGACGTAATTAAATCGAGTTAATTCCCTTGTAACACAATGATTTATGTACAATATTAAGGTGCCAACTACGACTACCAACAACTACCTAATTTGCGATATCAGCAACTGCTGGAAGCGAACGTTAACTTGTCATCTACCAACCAACCAACCATGGCCATTACATGAATAATGAAACTGGCAATGAGTTCCAAACGCACCCTACAGCTCAGTTGGAAAATTTTGACCGATATTCTTATTCGCACCTATACGCTACTGGTGTGAATTATATTTTGTGTTAGGGATAATTTTTATCAGTTTTTAAGACATTAACTTATTGACTCGACTTTAATGTCAAAAAAATGTCAGGTAAAAAGTGTTTAATCGTTCACATAACAATAAACTGAGACCCCTGCACGTAAAAGATCCCTCGACAAAATTTCTCTCATTGCATACTGCATGACATTAACCGTCTCCATTAGCCCAAATAGGTGCAGAAAAGTTTCTTTTCATTTATAATGTAAATAAATTATTAAACAAAAAAGTTCGTGAGTTATAGTAGAGACATAATCATAACTGAACCAAGATACACTGTTCTATTCACGATAAGACAGGTATATGACCAAATTCAAACATGATGTTGAATATCTTCTATAAAGGGGCAGTCAGATTTTTTAAAGAACAATTAGTACTCTCCGTGTTAATTTACCCCTTTAAAAACAATTTGAAATGTATAATTTGAAGGAAGAGCATATAATATAAGGAATTATTTTATGTATAATTTACAATATTTTTTATATTAAAAATTTTGTATACTGTCCCTTTAAACTTAACAAACCATCACTTGCTTTCTACCCTGGATGTTTGGGTACGATTCTGTGGCGATAAACCAAGGCCCAGTGCGCTGCATGTTATCGACCTAAACAAATCATCGACATTAAAAATGAATGGGATAATGCTACTATCCTGGAAAATTCTATTCTTTGCACACTTCCAGGTATTGCTCGTCGTAGTAAACTCAATCAGAAACAAAATGCATAAAACATAGAAATACATGTCATTTTTGGTTGTTGCCACCATCGATTAAAACTGTTAATTATTATGTAATTGTAGTCTTGCCGCATTTCGGATAGTATTCTGGAAAGTGGTACAGGTGATTATATGACTAAGTTCTGTTAAATCGAATATTAGACAACTATATCCCTTTTAAGCTGCATTAGTATCATGATTACGCTGGTGTATCAAATTCTACTTTAAATATTTGAATAAATATAGGTTTGTCACATGTCGACGATTTACCTGGTCAACCTAAGTGATTTGAGGTGTAGAATTACACAGGCGTACACGGAAAATACCTGGCCTTGTCCCTTTTTATAAAGTACTATTTGATAGGGGAGGGTGGTTATTTCTTAATTGGCACGTAGGTTCAAATTTTTAAGTTAAAGCACCATTTGTATAGAGTTTGATCGTGAAATTTTTATCGGGAATGGGAGTTCCGTAAATGATAATTGACTTGCCCAAATTTTTCAAATACCACTGAGGTGGAATATGAGAGTTTGAGGCAAGGGCGCTCATTGAATCGGATGGCCCAAAACACCAAAAATCCAACAGACGTTGACAGTAATCCCCCTTTGATTTCAATACGTCTTTTAATTATACGCTTTCAGGCGCAAAGAATATAATTATATGTATCACATGACCACAAATAATAGGCCCAGGCTTTATGTAATGCTGAGATGTGATCAGTCCTGTCGGGTCCGTACCCTCTCAGCTTATCTCTAATAATATCGTTCAAATTCACCATTTAGACACTTATCTGATACATTGAATAATTTTTTTTTTCAAAAAACATTCAGTCTACGCCATCGAAAAATGGTTGTCAAGCCTATGTATGTGATCATGATAGATAAAACGGCTCGATAAACTCTTTTTTGAATCATTGAGCCAGTGTTGGAATTCGTCCGTCGACGCCCATAGATTGAAATTTGTCAATTCGTCATCCCTTTTATAGAGTTCACAACTTAAAAAGAAGACTCGTCAAATTTGACTAAAACAAAGGGCAAAACTTAATGTTAGAATATGATTCATTCTAAATTTTAAATATAGTCGTAAAAAAACATTCTCTTAATATTAAGATTAAAAAAAAATAACGTAAACAAGTCTACCCCCACTTTAACAGGGTAAACTACAGACTTTAAATTATATTTTAAATCGATCCAGTGACAGTTAATATCCTTGTTGTAGCCGAACTGACCGAAAAAACACTCATTTTCTGTTCAAATGTAACAAATTTAGCGGATATCGTCTGCGAATTAAGCCCGCGGCTACATTATGATGGATGATGGGAATAAAATGGCGTCTGTAATATCATATATTAATAATGTTCTTTTTGAAGGATGGGAACAAACTGGTTTAACGGCTTACATTTTATTCTATCTAACAGTGCAGGTTTAAAATTACAGTCTGACTATACGGATGTCGAAAGTATTGGCAGTGTAGGTATTCCTTATTCGAAAATTCGAATGGTGAAAATCGATGCTATCAGTGTCCCCCATACACAAAAAGTTAAGAAAATCACTTTGCAATCCCTATAAGCATATTAATTGATATTCTCGTCACACAAAACCCAAAATCCTTTGATAATATGGTACTTTGTATACAGGAGAGTGTAAAACTCTATTTTATTTCAATGACATAGTAGTATGTTAAACTCCATCGTATTAAGTTTATCCCCCAAAATAGGATTTTTCGCATCATGTCATTCTGCAGAACAGAAAGCAGCATCTCATTACATTATCCCAGTAGGCCTAAGGCTTGATGATAAATCGCAGTAGGGTGTAAAACTTCATAATTCATTTTATTTCTAAATGCTATTAAAATTAGAGATAAATGTAATAAATACCAACTATTTTCAACAAATTTCTAATGTAAGCCAATAATTTATTGTGTTTCTTGATTCAAAATGTACAAGATGGCGTCAGGCGGACGAACAATGTCGAGTGATATGGGAAAAAACAAGAGTTAGGAATTCAAGATGTCGCCGGCGAATCAAAATGGCGCCTAAAAAGAAGAGAAAAACATTAATTTGATGCAAGTTTATGATATTTACATGTAATGTAGAAAACTTTAATTTTGGAATTTGACATCTGGTTTTAAGCAATTTAAACTTGCATTAGTTTAACTGCATTATATAATACAGAGCACGCAGAAACAGTGGCTTATTTCGGGGTGGACTTACTTATTTTTAAGTTGGGCCTGACCCATCACCCCTGCCATTAATCACGCCTTATCTCAGGGTTTTTTTGTGAGCGTCGCACCATTCTTCTAGCCAATGAAATGCCACGTCTTCATGATTGGGACTATATACGGTTACAATGATATGATCGAATCGAGCTAATGGACGTCTCATTAGCTCCCTTTGTCTTCAAACGAAGTTTTGTGCCATCAAATATTAATTACAAGTCATTATACCTCGAGATCAAAGGAAACAGAAGGCAAAATTTAATAACAACAACAATGGCGCCGAGACTGGCAGACGACACGAGAACAAACGTGGAAATACGAGATAGGGAAGTGATGATATCGATATTATTTGACACGTGGTTGATTTGGTTGAAGGCGCCAACTCTCACTAATCATTGACTTCTTTTCTCGACATTTGATATCGAAGAAATGTTATCAAGTGTTACTGTCCTTGCAAAATATCCCTCATTGCACACAGCATGACGGTTATTGTCTCTATCATAGTCCATTTGTTTTACTAAAATAGTCGATGGAAAGAATATGCAACTTATTATAAAAACTGTGACTCCGATTTACACCTTTGTAACTTTCACTCGTACGATATTTCTTATTTTTTAGTTTCTAAGTTTTAATTTTGCTCAAATTTGGCCAATAACAGTATATATCCATCAGTGGACTTACCTGGTGTCCTAACTATACATCAAAATCCCTCTATAATCCGATATATCCACAAAATCAAGTAATTAATTATAAAACGCTTAATACATCCATTAAGCGATTTTCAAATCGTGAGTCTGGGAAATCCGGTGTAATTTTCAAGGGGAAGTAACTCTCAAGTGGGGTTTCCCGCGTCCTTGACCTCTACTCTTGAATTGACTTCGACATTGTCATATTTTGGAGACGGAATAATGATGCCTCGTAAAAGATTAAGCGAATCCCCAAAAATGCAATTCATATAATTTAGAATGAATACTCCACCACTGACACAATTTTCAACGAATATTAATCATTGGCAAACTTTGGTGTATACACCGGAAGATGATTGTTTCCCGTTTTAGCGTTGATTACCTAGACTCTTTTTTCTCAAACTGAACGGACTTGTAGCTTGCTCAATTATGATTATAGTTGTATTGTCGATTTTTCAAACTTGATAAAGTGTGGGATGCATACTTATTTAACCAATGGTCACTATTAAACACAAATATTAGCAAAAGGACGAGTGTATTCTAAGACGTAGTATCACTTTAAGCTGCACACGAACCAACAACAGAATGTCTTTCTAAAAAGTAATACGGCTGATTGATTAGGAATATTAAATAGTTTATCCTCCTAAAAGTTTTTATGATGAATATGAACTATGAATGGAGTTTACATCGCATATTTTTATGAACACTTGTTTTGTTTCTTTTATTCCACTGTTGATGGGGTGTATGTTTTTTTTATCCAAATCATTGCCTGTAAATTTTGATTTTGTTCCAACGTTTGTCTCATCGTATCAAGCTATCTGTACGTGCCTGATGAGGATCATTCTCAAATTTCTCGCACGAGCCATCTGCAAAAAACGTGTGGCGCGTGACAATAGTCCATTTAGCAGCGACGCCATAATTAACAGAACGAAAGTTGAGACGCCTTGCTTCCAATATAACAAAATTTTCACCGAGAATTCGAAACCATTAGCGTTATTTCGGGAAGTTTCGTTTTACCACTGTACAAAAGACTGGTTAATCTACGGTCTAGACTCGATGACCCCAGTCTCACGTATATATTAATCATTATCAAGCATCGTGTTTCTGTTTGACAATGTAAAAGATGGACGGAATCCTTTTCGAATCAGGTTTGCTTACTTTGCTTATTAACCTTTTGCTATTGTAAGTATTTTGGTAATTGGTAATACAGCAGTGGTTGGAAAAACGCTATACGAGTTATAGAATATGTTTTAAAGGACTCTCGGGGAGGACTGTGCTTTAGTGGGTTAGGCTCGTGCTTGCCAGCTAAGGTCCAGTATTCAGCACAAGCATATAGGCCTAGATTAAACCTTATTATCGATGCAGAGTGGTTATTCTGTCGGGACTGGGACCCTTTATCAGTACCTCGACAGTTGAACTCGACAATGAGCTTTAGTTACGCGCACACACAAGCATTAATTTTGTTCATTCGTGGAAAAATTATCAAACGCGTTACTTTAATTTTCAACTTTTCGCCACTAATGACCAAAATCTTATATAAATTTACCCGCACACGGAAGCTTTCGTTAAGGAGAAGTGTACGAATGAATTAAGCCTGAGCTGATGGCTCGTAGCCTACAGTGTTCTAGTTGATAACCGTGTGTCATAGCCTAGATCTTTATTAGCCCTAGTAGCCTAAGGCAAATATCGGGCTTAATAGAACTTTATCTATTTCATCCAATGCGCATTGAATAGGCATATTGAATGTAGTAGCCTATTGTAAGATTTATATCTTGTTTATTTTCAGGAATTTGATTATAGGCCTATTCAATAGCCTATATGAAGATCCAAAGGCTATTTTAAGAAGTGAGGTCTAGAATAGACTATTACTCAGTATCAGAGGTGACAGTATTTGTGGGATGAGGGATCAGCTATATAATCACGACAGAAGACACTTTACGCACTATAAATTGCAATAGGCTATGTGTTTAATATGGAATAAATACCAGAAAAAAACGAAGATTTTGTCACCCCTCCACACACACACACTTTCCTTTTCGATATCCCCCAAAACCGATATAGTGTATATAAGCTATTGCCATGATTTATGGTATATTGCCATAGAAACGTGATAACAAGAATTTACTGTCAAAATGATTTGTGTATTCCTTCAGGACCTGCCACGTTCCCGCCAAACTGACAACTTTCCAAAATTAATGTTCCGCCATTTTGTCGTTTTCTATTAAACATTAGCTTCGTTTTCGCTTACGATATTTTTATGGTTTATAAGGGTATTTTCTCCCCATCTCAACAGTAGTTAAAAAGAATTTAGTCCTTTTTTTCTATCGGCTGAAGAACATGCCAGTCTACCGAGTCTGGGGGTACGCATTATAGGGGACAAACTGACTCAATGAGAGGGAAACTGTCGAGGCTGAATTAAAAAAGTGCTTTCTCCCAAAAGAAAATTGTCGAAAAATTGTATTGACTTGGTGCATTGAGACACACATTTAGGCGCAAAAAATATATATTTTTTTTATTTCGAGGGGGACCAATGCCTCCTGTATCCCCACTGGTGCTGCGACTTGTATTTGTTGTTTCCTTCACTCTATGTCTCGATTTCGATTAAATTCGAATAAGAAGTACATGTAATTCAAAAATTGGCTAGTCGTTTCCGAACTTTCTTATTTCACAAGGAGCTGTGATGGAAAAAGCTCTTTAGTTCGGATAGTCCTTAAGTGCTACAAGTTGCTCTTCTTACAGATCACTTTAAGACAATTGGAAATCGAAAGAGTAGACTAATGTAACTGTCCTGGCAAGATTTGCACACTGCATGGTGCTGACCGCTTTTATTAGCCAATTAGGTACAAAACAAGAAATAAAACTCCATTTAATTAATTTCATTTCTGCAAATTTAAAGAATACACAGAATACGGCCCTGAAAATGGTCAAATCTCGAGATTCCAAGAAAAACAAAAGTTGAAAATAATAAATTTTTAATCTTTGAGATTTAAATTTTTGGACAATAATAAATAAAGCAACTTTTAGATATAACAGAGACTTTCGGCACAATATTCATTTAGCTTTATCACCACTTAGGAAAAGAAATGACGTAAATCTCCCCTTCATTTCATATAGCATGTTGGTGGTATCTGTTCTTTTACCCGGCCAACCATGAATAGATAGGTATGCTTTTCATAGAAATATATACCCTTTCGGATTCTTGACAAAAAATGTGTCGAAAGTCCCTTATATTCATAACATCACGTGGTTGGATACACAACTTTCAATGACGTTTATCACACTGATTAACATAAATGAGCACATAAATTGGTGACGTGAACACAATGTTTGCTAAAGCATAATAAAATATTTCACGAAGTTTTATAAAATAGATTGTGTGTTTTTTTGTTGTTTTTTTTCTGAGTGATATTTAACTTGTCACCGAAAAATAACATTTGTCTTCCGGCAAGCATGCGCACTCGGTGTATTTACATAAGGCTCACGCAATCATTCAAAATAAAAAGTTCAACACATTAAGACGCGTCTTTTAAGTATCACATTTTTCATCGCGTAAATCATAACCGTCACACGGGTTACATCACACTCACAAAACGAAATCTTCGAACAAATATCAAATACATCACTTACACATATATTGATGATGTAAAACTCAAACAACAGTAGCAAGATCGTGTTTAGGGGGTATTCCAGTCAGTGTCACTATGGAGGGGTTTTGAGTCACTACCGTTGATTGAGGAGTCACTATCTGTGTACTAGGAGTCACTATATTTTTGGTTTCGGGTATAGGTTTGTAAATTCGGCCATGCGAATCAGTTTTTGTCTTATGCCGATCTGAAAATAATGAGCAATGTTTTCCGGCTTTGTCACTAAAATGATCGGTGACGTAAAGTTGAGCTTTTTTCAGACTGTGTTCGCGTCTGATTTGAATCAAACGACTATGTCGTCTGGTGTCTGTTCTGAGCATGCGCACAGCTAAAAGCACTAATAAGACGAGGATGAATCCACCAGCGATTGGAACGGCGATGACGGCTGCTTTAAACCACAAATCGCGTTCTGGTTCTTTGGCGTCCTCATTTCTTGCGTAGAAGACATCATGTTTAAGTGGTCTGTCGTTAATTTGAGTTTCACCTGAAAAGAGAAACGAAAATTTAATATAATTATTTTCGAGATAAAATCAGTTTCTTTTTCAATTATGTTACGTGAAAAGTTGCATCAAAATTTCCCAAGTAGTTTCTCATCATTATATTGTATGGTCTTTTGATATGCTTTTGTCGGTGATCATACAGTGTGTCCCCCACTGCTTTAGACATAGTTTTCCAGTGACGAAATCATCACGTAATCATTACGTCTGGTCAATCGTGATTGGCGTTCCCCTCGTTAAACAGCAGGGGACGTAATTCATCTTGATTTCTTGACGTAGGTTTGAAAAGGGGTCTATCATTTAAGTAAGGTTTCACCCGAGGTTTTTATGAGCCAGACTTCGCCATAAATTAAGTTTGGTGATAATGTAACATGGCGGGAGATCTCGTTACAGATATAAATATTTTAGCCGTAGACACCAACATTCAAAACTATCTCGGTTACCCCCCCTTGAATATTTTTCTCTTTTATTTCTGCTTGTTGTCATGGTTATGGAGATTTGTAGTTGTAGCAAAAATATCCCTTCAGTTTCCGACTGGGGAACGAAATGATTATCAGAAATTCAACACTTGTGTTCAAAAAAGAATAATTAAAATAGTTTTTCAAATTCAATTGACGTTACTTTTACAAGGTTTCCGTAAAGCTGAACCTGTCTCGGTAATATGAAAGGTGAATTTCGTTGTGTCTTAATGGGCGAGACTTGGTACTTCCGGCATTTCACATTTAATTGTCAAGAGATAGAAATATTGCGACCTAAATATAGGCCAGAAATTTAAAGTCTTCGCGGATAATTCTAGCACAAAATTATGCATTGAATATTTTACTGTTACAACTATATAACTTTTACAACTTTCGATTGTCATACTTTGGACGAGATTTTGATGAATGGAATTGTCTTGCTTCTAGGCTTACAGATTTTTATTACCAATTATAATCATTTTGTATCCATATCGTACGTAGTTTTTGTTTTCATGTTTTTTTTGTTTACAAACAGTCGTAGTCCTGAACGACAAGTCTCTGATAATTAAACTACCAGAATAACTTGACATTTAGACATAGTTCCTGTAAATGGTGTCTGTCATTCATTACCGTGTTATTTTGCAGGGTGATCGCAGAACTTTCACGGTAGGCCTAATTATTCGAATTAACTTCTGTGGATTTTCATGTAAAGCCTGTTGCACATGAGGCTATTCCCATATTATCTCCGACCTCCAGGTCTTAAAACCCAAAGTCAAGCAACAAGCATCCAGTTAACTTAGCCACTGTGGTTCTAGCAACATTTTAGTTTCAATCAGAGACGGATCATAAAGTTTGAAAGCAATCAAATATTTAACAAACATAAATGAGAAAACATTGTCAGTGAATCGATTTTCTTTGAACAATTCGAACAAAATGGCGCCAGTGTGTCTCCTTTTTCTGCAGACTTGGACGCCATATTGGAATTCAGGATCCGCCATTTTGAAAATCGATGTCGTTGTTATTTGTGTTTCTCAGCCGAGGGATTTTAAAGTAAATAATTATCCAAGTCGTTTGGCTGTTTGGGTCAATAGCTTGAAGTGAATTTGTCCCCAAACACACATCTCATTGTCTTGGCTCGGTTTTGTTTTAAATAGTTATAGACTTAAGGACAACAAAAGATGATGGCTGAATTTTCAGTTCAGTTTTCCAGATATTCAAACTAATGATTAGAAATGATTGATCCCTTCGTTTACGAAATGTCTTGTTCGTTGTTTTTATTGAACATCTAATCATTTTATAGCTCCATTTTCGACAATTCCTTCCTTATTGTTATTATACCAGACTTAATTTTATACTTAAAGTTATTCAGGTAACTGAGGTGTACTCTACATTAACCGAGGCCCTTGTGTTACAAGCTGCTAACATTAAAATTTTAATAAATTACGCCAACGCCACTGAATTGCCAAATAAACCCTCATTGCATACTGTGCCGTTGTCTGTCTTCATGACACAACCATGAACAATACGTAAAATTCCCAACTTTCACAACATGTACAAAGCCCCTTTTTCAGTTCATAGTTTTAAAAGCTATCTTTATAATTTGAAATTTCTTTAAATTTACCACTAAAAAGGCGTAAAATGCAATAATTTTTAAGTTTTGACAGAGGGGAATAATAGTATACACTTGTAAAATGCGTTTGGTTTATTAAATTTCTATGCGAACAGTGGGAGACAAAATAACAGGGAAAATAAATCATGGCCAAAACTTGAGTTACCATCATTCATTATGTCATTCTTTACAACAGCATTTTTTCTTATTGCATAATACGGTGTCTGTGAACTGCCATGTACCGCATCGCCCATTTTATGTAAAGATATTTTTCTTACTATACGGCGGTTGAGAACTGCCGTTTTCAGACCGCTTTGACTTGGGTTTTCAACCAGGCTCTCTATGAATCATGAGCTATAGTGTTCCGTATGCAAATTGAGTCCAATGAGTAATTATTTTCGATCATACACCATATACAATACTAGAGTTTTTTATAAGGTAACTTATCCAGAGTTGTTGGAAAATTGAATCGGATACACCATATACAATGTTGGCTATGAGTTTTTTGATGAGATATCGGACCCGGAGAGCGATGGTTGAGCTGTGGAGATCCGGTAAATCAGATAAACCATATCCAATGTTGGCTTTGAGTTATGAGCAGACTGCACTAGATATATCAGTGTAGAAAATGATAAAGGAACACGATAAGAGGAAACTTGATATTGTATTGCATAGAGTCGGTACAGGGCATCAATTCTTCTATCTACATTAGGCACAATGAGGTCATTTCCGCCCAGGTTGGGGAAGATTCCTATAAGTATACATGAAAGTTATACATACTACTTCCCATTAACTATTACACTGGTTAAATGGAGTATTGTGTTCTACGCTGTATGAGAAGTGCAATAAAAGTTTATGTTCTATTTTTCTAAACATAAAGGGGCTTGCGAAATGAAATCGAAATGATAAAAAATCAGCAAGGACTGTCCTCTTATTAGATAATCATCATACAATGAGTCGAAGTTATGGAGGGGGTAGCTGAGGGTCTTTGGAGTCTACTAGGTACCATGAAATCATACAAAGGCCTACATCAATAATTTTGACAAATCCGACAATAGGTCAGTCATTTATTGTCTTGTGAACCTTCTTTACAATAGATTTGTCTGACAAAATCACAACAAAATCAAAACTGTAGTTTTCTCTATAGTAGCCGTCAACCTTCCTTTTCTACTCAACAGAATAAAACCTAAAAAGAAACTCGTTGACGGATCACGTGGTACCATTATGGTAACACTGAATTTTAACTTGCTAAACATGGCAAGACTATCTGTGTCTATAGGCTGTTTATTCTGCGAATTTGCAAAACAGGGAAATGGGGCCATTTTGATCACTAACGTGACACGGGTCTTTTCTGAACGTTCTCCAGTTGTTTTCGTTGATGTACGGAATTGGTCGAAGTGAGACAATAGCTCTCGTCTTCGGTGAAAAAAGTAATGAGGGCATGCAGCTCAGCTAGTTCCTCTCGTCTGTGGCAGGCTTAACAATATGAGTCTATAGTGTGCCGAGACGAAACCCAACGAAACATACCGAATGTCTGATACAAGAAATATAACAATAGATTTATGAGAGTATACAACTGTTATTAACTGGCACCAACATTTTCACCAATATTTCACCCTTTCTTTATCTCTCAGACTTGTATGTATTTTCTAATCAATGATGTATCAGGTATTGCGAGTTTGTTTTTTCATAACGAAGTATTACCGCCTTTTTCTCCAGCGTATTTCAGAGTGATCGAATATTTGCGTAACAATCTGCTAGAGCACAATATTCAGCTAATTAAGTATTCACATAAATAAACCAAGTACTAACGAACCGCAAAACGAAACCCTCAATCCAAACAACATTATTGTCTTTTCAGAATGTAAATTCTACTTCAATTTGTCAACAATAAGATAAATCGTACCAGCGGAAATGACGACAATCCTTATTAACATTAGCAACACCTTGAAAAATCAGGTTTTATTTACGCAGGTACGTCTTTCTTGTTTGTAGACGAACAAGGCTTTAAATTTGACTCTATCAGCTAGTAAAATAAATATTTTGACGAATGCATACCTTTACGTTTAACTTGTATGTCTCTCTATGCATTCAGTCCTTTAGAACTCGCCCTGCTCGAAGTATTAACAAATCCTACACTTTCCAACTAACCAAACACTAGAAAAAGACTAATGTAACCCAGGCCTACTTCAAATCCATTTGAAAACGTCTCAAAACGTTTAGACAAATTTATTTGGCTAAAACTGTTTAGTTTGTGGGACTTGAGATGAAATGGATAAGATTCAAGCCGCAGAATTGCGAGGCGGACTGTAAGTGGTTCAGATCGGCCACTTGAACACGAATTTACATTTTGATTAAAAGGCTATAGACTAGACGCAAAGAACTGATCTCTGATGCTGCTCGACGCCATGATATGTGTAGCACACATGTATGTCTAAATGTACTTAAAACAAATAACATTAACTATAAGGCTAAGTGTTATGCAAAGATCAGTTCTCTGATGCCTCTGATATAAATGTGCTTTAAAACAAGTAAAATTCTGGATGAAAAATTCAAAATGGCAGAAATTGTTACAAATCATCAATTCCAATAAGGAATTTTCTTATAATCTTGTTCAAAGGCAAGACAAATTCATTATGGCGAAAATTGTTCTAAAGACGTCAAGAAACAAGTGGTTCGCAGCTTGAGATAAGAAAGGAAATTTTTGCGTCTATAAATATTGTTTAAATATACTTAATCCTTATTCAGTGTACTGTTGACTTTATTTTTAAAATTGTAATGGAGTTTATTTTAGGGGATTATGTTCGGGGATTTATGACAAGGGGAGCTAAGCCAAGGCCTACTTCTCTATATAATATATTTTCGATAGAGCAATAAATTTTATACCGATATACTTAAGATCGACATCTCACTCACTAAGTCAAAATTCAAATGGATTCAATTTTTCAAACATCTAAAAACCTTATATTATTATAACTGCTGATTTGTGACTTGATTTTAGCTGAAATGTGTATCGGACATACTGATATTAACAATTTGCACTAAAATTTTACTAAAATTAAAAGCTGCAATTGATATGTAAGGAACTTTGCGATAGTGATGTTTTAGTGAAAGTGCAATCCTTGTATTTCTAAAGACTACTATTCCAAATCAACCCCGAAAAAAACGAATCATTCTCTTTAATTCGACGAGAAAAAAAGTTACTTGAAATTTATGAATGAACTGAAATTCCCTGGGAGTTGAACCGAAACTAAGGAAATTGAATGACTTCACATAAGACATTGTGTGAGATACATGAGATGTCAACGCGGACATGTAAAAAGGTTTTTCTTATACTTTTGGCGAGTCCATGTGAATCCTGGCTCATTCTTTTATACAGTAGATTTCAATCTAAGAGGGTAACTCGAACCCAAAAGATGCTATCTCTCTCTAAAACTTGGCGTCCATTATCTATCCCTCATCTCTCAGACCTTTTGTTACGTCCTCAAACTTGTAAACTAATCTCTATTGTTTACTCTCATTCTGGAATTCGGAAAACAAGTTTTTGATTGGTTGATAACATTAGATAACCAATTGAAGACGAGATATCGAAATCCCGATTAAGAATGGAGTTTAATCCTAATCTAACCGCTTTCCGAAACATTTTATTTGGTATGTTCTGATTGGTTGACATAAATAACCATCCAATCTGATACGAGATGCTATCAACTGGATTATCAAACCAGTGTCATTCTTAATAATTCCTCTAAGATTTCATCTCCTTCTTAGAGATAATAGATTCAATAGAGGTGCCAAACGTTTCGATTGCCCTGATAACATGAACTCGTTTGACCTTCAGGACAGATATCCGGGCTCTTTTCTGTTGCAGTTTCTCTCTGCCACATTTGCAACCAGGCAACCTTGTGACATCGATTACGACATTCTATAGCTCGTGTTCCACCTGTTCGGCGAGTTCTCTTGAACATGCGATCGTAGCACGCTGTGAGCCCCAGTCATTACAATCGGACGCAAATCTCTATTTCTAAGGCTAATTTCATCTGGTAAGAGTTTCGGACTAGACACCGAATTCTTCACAGTTCCACTTAACAAATTTTATAAACAAGCCAACTCTCCCGTGTTTTGAGGCTAGAAAGGTGATTAGACGATAGGATATCGTCTGCCGCCTAAAACCAGGGTGGTTTCCCGCCAGAACCAAATATTTTCTTCGGAATAAAACGGTAAGCGGCTACGGGCGATTAGAACATTCATTTATATCTGGCGACGATATAAATTAAGTGTGGGTCTTGTATCATATTGAGAAAATAGAAACTGATATCATCGCGAACAACCAGACGCGTCAAATTAACCAGAAATAGAAACAGATATACTTAATAATCTAGACTACTAAAGGCGCTGCACCGAATCTCCTAATTCAATTATCTTGATTATCAAGACATTTTATATGTTTTATATTTATTAAGAGGTATACTTGATAATCGCGTATATTACAGACGGCGCTTTTCTCTTAATGTTTTGTAATTTAATTATCTCCGTCTTTGAAGATTCAATAAGGGTGGGATAACTCATGTCTAACGTTTCAGAATTTTCCATTATCGTAGGGACAGTCAGTCTGGAAGCATAACCGAGATATGGAGAGATTTCTTCCGATTTGAATCTCGTGTGGCTTATCTCACTGAGAAATAGGTTGAAATGAGAATTTTTCAGTAAGATTGGAATGGAAATTAAAAGTAGCAAACATTTTGTGAAACCCAATCTAAGTCACTTGATTCTAGTCCCGGATATATGCTCCAAGATATTCAAAATATTATTTTTGTTTGGGCTCTGAAGAATATCTTGACTTTAAAAAGGTAAGGCTTAAAAAGCCAATTTTTGAATATTAAAAGGATAAGTTCGTCTAAATATTTGCTTTACTTGTTCAATTTCGGTTTCATAGACGATATCCCTTGAGAGATTCATTTATTCGGGTTTCGGGTGTGAGAAGACGAAATGATTTCACTGAACCTACCTTTTTGGGCACTGTCGTTCGAGTTGGTATTTAGAATAATATTAATATCTATATTGTCTATATAATTACACATGTCGTCATGGCAACACATTAAAAACGGCACCTGAGATTCGTCTGTTGATTTCACCAGTTTCTGACCTTTGGTACAAAGGTCAAGGTTATTGGACAAGGTGTCCGCACATCCATGAGTGGATCGAGTCCTTTCCCCGTCAAATCTGACTGCTGTGTAACACTGCCCAATGTTTGATTTACACATATAGCCTGTATTGATACACCCTGACTCATTACAATAACAGCGTATTTCACCTGAAAGTAGACAAAGGGAGATAATAAGGTCAATTTCAAAATGGCTGCCAGACATAAACATGACTGCCAAACATATAAAAATAGCTGCATATCAATGCTGCCTAATTAAACAAGATGACTCAATGTAAAATATATACGTTTCAAAACGGGCATAAGTAGAAACTCAAGTGCAGTTACACAAAACAAAATGGCACCCAACAAAACAATATGGTCACCAAGCAAAAGAAACCGGATGGATACTCTTTTTAAATATTATAATATATCTATTATATCTATTACTTGCGCAATTTTCTTTCCTTATATCTTAATTATACCAGTTATGAAAAGAATAAAAAAAATGGTATCTGAAATACAAAATGGCGTCGACGTTGTTCATGTTAAAAGCTTACTCATCCTATTATCCCCATATCTTGATGGGTGGTGATATTTTACAACATGAAATTCCCCCTTGGCTCCTTGGTATATTTTAAAACAGGCATGTTTCATGTTAGCCAAATCTTACTTAATAGGTTATGAAAGATGACAGCTTTATCGTAAATGAGTCTGTATTATCGCAAATAAGTCTGGGTTATAAATGTCGTAATATTACACGTAGGTCTGGTTACAGTAATTAAAATGTTAGAAACTTGTAGTTAGTGAGTAGGCATTGACCTAGGCCCCGAAAGCACTGACCGTGAATGTGTAAGACTGAGATTCGAACCCACGACACTTGTGCGCCTGCTTTTTCTTACTTTGAGGATAAATGACGATAGCTAAGATAGCTTAGAGATCATTGTATTCGTAAATGATGAGCGTGCGACGGGTGTAAGTTGGTGGAGGGGTCATTCAACCATGATAGAAACCATAAAATAAAATGGAGTTTTACGTCCTGATAGAAACTGTGAAGTACCACCTATATCTATTATGTTAAAAGCTATCTAGATTTTTTATACTGAAAAACTATGGGAATATAGATCGCGTTTAAATGGGTGAAAAAAGGGGGGGGAATCTATAGCCCAATAACCCTTTCCTTCTTACATCAGCTCCTGTGCCTATTTACCTTTGAACTTTAAGAATTGAACTGATAGTTAAGATCTGATCGTAAATAGATCTTCCCGTGTAATCTTTACCTCGCAAAAAATTTGGTATTTAACATTTAAAAGATATGAGTCTTATCCAGCATTGTCTAGAATGCGAGAAACTGAGTTGAGTGTATTTCAGATTTGGCTTTTTAGACTATTATAACTATAGGATTTTCCTTACTGGAAAAGGTGAAAGTGAATGAGTTTGTCGCAGAGGGGTTCCGTTTTTCAGTTTCACTAGATGAGGCATTTTAAACATTCATAGAACTGTGACGTCAAGTTTACAAAATCGGAAGTGACCGTGTGCACATGATCCGTCTGTACCGTCAATCTATTCTTACTGGAATTGACCCTTTCTAGGTTACTAGAGATTTTCATAGCACTTCCGTGACGTAAATATAATTTCAATCGGAAATGCCGGAATCTATATAAGATCCATATCGATGCTGTAATGAACACATTATTGGTCCACGACCTCAGCTTTCATGGCATTGTTATAGGCTCTAAAACAGAGTAAAAAAATCTTATCTTGGAATTTTCTTCTTCCATAAATTGGAGGAGTTCAACTTTAAGACAAAAAAACAAAAGTTTAGATACACTAAACTGATAAATCATTCGTGTCATAATACATTTATTTACAAAATACAAAGTATATGATTTATTTCGTTTTCTTTTTTTTATATTTTGTGAATACCGGCTTTGTTTTACGACCAATTTGGTAACAGGATTGTCTGCAATGAAGATGAACAAATCTATTTAACATTCTTTCACGACACACAGATCGTGGGGTCTTGTATAGATGGTTAGTGACCCAGGGGCGTTTCTACTGAAGGTTGGAGAAGAATTATTAAAAATAATTGTATAGAAGACTTTGTTACGCATTGAATAGTATTTGCATGTTTGGAGCCGTAAATTACACGTCAAAACGTTAACGTAACAGAATTAATATCATTGCACGTAGACGCACAAATCTCGTGTCTATTGCAGACGAATTAAACTAATTGTTTGATTGTCTCGATCATGCAGTCACTATTTCTTGTCTCCATTGAATGATTTTATAGTCTCGATGTTCAAGAGCATGGTAAAATAATAACGTGTTCAAGCCTCCATATCACATTGTAAATCACGCTTAACGAGACAACGTCGGCGAGAAATCGCGTGACCAGAAGCCATTGTCGCAAGTCATGTCGGAAACGAAAAGTTTTATTTACGACAACCAGAATGGGGACTAATATTGTAAATAATGGTTATTAGAAATGTTTGGCGTCTCTTTGACTCTTTCATGCTACAAATTATGAATTTTCACATTCTCTCAAGAAGCAGTGTCATTTATTTACTGATGTTCTATTTATTACAATGGGACAATTAATCTATTTAAATGATATCATACCATTCAGGCCTCACACTGGACTTTATTACTAAGTATTATCATTTGTTTGTTTCACATTTATGGCATTTTACTACTTTTAAACAAATTCACTTTCATGGTTCTATGTTTTTTTAAATGTTCATGGCACATTCATGATTGTCAAAACCTATACATGTATGTGGCACTGCACCTTTAACCCGATGTTTATTTTCTTTCATACGTGGTAATGTAGCTTTAAAGTTAATAGACCTCCGTCAATTTTATTTATATATTTACATATCTGGCAATCACCGGTTTTATTTGGTGCCAAAGGTTTGCTAAATGGCGGGAATTCCTGGAATGAAGAATTCAACATAACGCCAAACATCCAGACCGCTCAAGCTTGTCAGTTATTTTATCGCGGCGCCATCTAGTCAGAATGGCGTTATTCTGCGATTATCAACTCTCTTATCTATCTCGTCAATCTAGACTAGCTTGTCTTTGTTTCCAATAATGATAATATTTGCTGATAGGCACAGGTTATTTATAGAAAGACAGGTTATGTGTATTAAAATTTCTTTTAAGAAAATCGCAGGGGCATTAAAAAAAAAAGATCACGTGATTCTAAAACTGGAGGAACTTACATCTTATCAATTTTGAAATTTATTCAAATGCAATGAACCTCTTTGAAAGAAGAAATTGAGTTTTGCGCCAAACTGCCCTGCACCTTATTGTGCTAATAAAATGAAATAGAGTTAAGTGCCATTCTGTTCTGGGCCGTATCTCGTCAATTATCTAGTCTTGCTTTTCTGCTATGTTTAGCCTAGTGTATATTATGGAGTATTACACCCGGCTGCTATGAAAAGTCTAGTGTATATTATAGAGTTTACGCCCTACTGCTATGTTAAGTCTAGTATATATTATAGAGTTTTACGTCCTACTGCTATGTTTTATGTTTATTCTAGTGTATATTATAGAGTTTAACGTCCTACTGCTTTGTTTAGTCTAGTGTATATTATAGAGTTTTACATCCTACTGCTATATTTAGTCTAGTGTATATTATAGAGTTTTACGCCCTACTGCTTTGTTTAGTCTAGTGTATATTATAGAGTTTTACGTCCTACTGCTTTGTTTAGTCTAGTGTATATTTTGGAGTTTTACGTCCTACTGCTATGTTTATTCTAGTGTATATTATGGAGTTTTACATCCTACTGCTATGTTTAGTCTAGTGTATATTATAGAGTTTTACGTCCTACTGCTATGTTTAGTCTAGTGTATATTATAAAGTTTTACGTCCTACTGCTATGTTAAGTCTAGTATATATTATAGAGTTTTACGTCCTACTGCTATGTTTTATGTTTATTCTAGTGTATATTATAGAGTTTTACGTCCTACTGCTTTGTTTAGTCTAGTGTATATTATGGAGTTTTACGTCCTACTGCTATGTTAAGTCTAGTGTATCTTATAGAGTTTTACGTCCTACTGCTATGTTTATTCTAGTGTATATTATGGAGTTTTACATCCTACTGCTATATTTAGTCTAGTGTATATTATAGAGTTTTACGTCCTACTGCTATGTTTAGTCTAGTGTATATCATAAAGTTTTGCGTCCTACTGCTTTGTTTAGTCTAGTGTATATTATAAAGTATTACGTCCTACTGCTATGTTTATTCTAGTGTATATTATGGAGTGTTACACCCGGCTGCTATGAAAAGTCTAGTGTATATTATAGAGTTTTACGTCCTACTGCTATGTTTAGTCTAGTGTATATTATAGAGTTTTACATCCTACTGCTATGTTTAGTCTAGTGTATATTATTGAGTTTTACGTCCTACTGTTTAGTCTAGTGTATATGATAATGTTAATATGACTAATGGTTTATGAACAATATTTAGTGTTATAAAAGGTTGATTTTCCGTTGTTCTGTTGTTTACCTAGTGGGCTAGGAGTAATAATATAACATTAGGATACACATACATATCAAATAATTATGAGTTATAGTATATTTTACTGTATTTAAAGTTAAGTAAGGTTGGGCAATCGAAATCGGTGAGGAATGCTCTTAAAGCGACTTTTGTTTTTGTTTGAATTCTTTGATAGTCAGTAGATTTGCGCAAATTGCTCTTCTGCATTTGAAACGGACGTCAAATTTTAAATCTCAAAAGAGTTGCCCGTGAATATAAATTTTATCTTTTAACTTATAGTTCCATGAGTTCTCTTACGTAAGAGTTTTACGATGAAATTTGGTCATGCAAGTTAACCCAATTTCCGACAAAGCTGTGCTTCTGAGGATAGTTTAACCGTAACGCGTGTCGGCAGCATGAGATGAGCTCTATAGTCTAATTGGACGACTAGATCGCTGTAGGCCTTTAGATACGTTTGTATGAAAATTGAAATTTAAACCACACAACAAAACTATCAAAAAAAAAGGTAATGTTATTTAAGTTGAGATAAGGAAAAAGAAAAAAAATTGTCGAAGCCTATGTTGCTGGGTAGGCAAAGATAAATAACTCAGATAAATAGCTTTTTGAAAAACTAAAATCAACACTGTTACGATTAAAGAGGTAATCCCTGCAGTTTCTTCTATAATG